TTGATTTTCAAGTATTTGACTATTGACTATGGACTTGTTCTCTGACCTAACTGACTTCCCAAATCTTGCTGATATTCTGTTATCTCTTTTCCTAGGTCTGGTTACCCCTTAAGAATGGTAATATGTTCCCTTATCTGTTTCTCTTAGCTGATATAGATTTGCGTGTTTGGATTCTCTACCATTAGTGGCAGCACTGGTTATCGACTTTATGTAATGGGCAAAAAAATGGTCTTAAAAATGCCCTTTTATTTGTTCCTATTCATCTATTACATGATATTTTACATATTGGTATTTGTATTTATATTTTTATTGTTTTTTTATATTTATGTTTTAATAAAGTAATTTTTTAATTACCACTTTGGATTCCTGCTTCTGCACAGAATGGAGTGTAGTCCCTAACTACACGACGCTTGGTTACTGAGCCAGATTATAGGCTCTCCACTTGTGAATATATTGCATTAGTGCACATTGCTTTTTGTACCAACTGAATTACACTATATTGCTTATCTCCCATCTTTTGGAGAAAAACTCTGCACTTTGGAAATCCACCCCACGGAAGAGGGAAAGGGTCGCCCATATAGAATACACAGGCTTTCCATACCAGAGCTAGGTCCATATAGCTTTGGAATATGTAAGTGTTCCATTATTCTATATACTATACATATGTTGGAGTGGTTTTACACTATATATGTCTCATTTATGCTAAAGGTATAAAGAAAGAAGGTTATCAAATTGGAACACTAATAAGTTAAGTACTTTTTTCTGCCCTGTATAGGCTCTTTTAGCCTATAAAAATCTGGGCAACTGTATAATAATAAGCACTCCACTGACCATTTTTTGTCTATCACATGACATTGTTTAATTTGATATCGAGAAAACATGATCATTATGCATCGGTATCAAAAGGCTCATTAACAATACATCAGTTAGAATTAAAGGGATATGCATCACTTTAAGACAGCTGTCTCAATCAAAAGTTTTAGCTTTCAATGATATAGTTGCTCAACCTGCAAGCTGTAAAAGAGCAGTTAAATATGATTTTTTATTTTCATATTTATTATTCCTTATGCTTTCCGCACCAACTCCATGGAGGACACTGATCTAACCAGTAAGTGTCCCATCCATAGGAATGCTGGAAAAGTGCATTGCGCAAGCCTGACATATTTAAACATGTGCAGTTGGAAAATCTCTTTACCTTGCAACATCCTGACAAGGGATAAGAGAGTTTCTCTTTCCTGCTGCTGCACAATGATGCTCTGTTTTTGTCAGTAGTGGACCTGTCTGGGTGGGTAAAAGGGAAGAGGGAGACTGAAGAATCTCCACTATTTGAGAGGCATGCCCAATAATGCAATTTGACCATGTTTAGAGTAAGTTTATAATTGGAAATTGATAAATAGGTCACCTTTTCTGCAACGCTGAGTCTCCATTGGCACTGCCGCACCCTCCCCCAAGCATTACATCTTAAAGCCGTGCCTCCTAAATGAAGGACCATTTCAATGTTCCTCATAAAGGAGTACTGAGAAACGTAGGCACATGCGAAGCACTCACTGCTATGCACCTCTGATTCTGCCACAGAGAATTATTGCATGCAATGTTTCTCTATGGAAGACCGTGATGGCACTACGCACACGCATACATTACAGAATGATAGGGTATTAGAGCTAGGAAACACAGTCCCAACTCTAATACCAAGACGGTTTAACCCCTTAGTGACCTCGGATGTATGAGGTATGTCCGACAAAAAAGGTCCTTAAGGACTGCGGACGTACCTGATACGTCCGAGGGGAGTTAGAGAGCTGGAAGCTATCAGGATCGCTTCCAGCAGCTCTAATGGTATTGCAGCAATGCCTCGATGTTGAGGCATCACTGCAATACCCCCTCTTACTGCCTGGCCGCCGGAGAACACTGGGTGATAGCTCCCCCCGGAGCGATCACTTCCAGGTTGCTCCACGTGGAGCCCGGCAGTGAGGCAGAGCATCGGAAGCCGTCAGACAGGCTTCCGATGCTCTGCCTGTACTGAGTGCCTGGAGGGGTCGAGGGACTCAGTTAAAAAAAAATTGTGATTTAAATAAAAAAATTAACCCTCCCTTTCCCATGTTCTTACCTGTACTGAGTGCCTGGAGGGGTCGAGGGACTCAGTTAAAAAAAATTGTGATTTAAATAAAAAAAATTAACCCATACCCTCCCTCCCTTTCCCATGTTCTTACCGATCACCACCGTTCCCCCGCCGACAATCGGTCTTCTTCTTAGGGGGGACTATCTGGGCTTAGCCCAGACAGTCCCCCCTTTCCAATTTAGGACCCCCAGGGGCCATGTGATCGCTCTAAAAGATGTCCCAAATAGGACATGGGTGCATGATGACTAGCTGTGAAAATTCCAAGTTGGAAAACTGGAATGCGCACCCTCCAAATAAGGTCTTTTAGCCCCCAGAGAACCTGACACACCTATACATGGGGGGTATCACTGTACTCAGGAGATGTTACTGAACACATATCGGGGCAGTATACTTTTTCCACCTGCACTGTGAATGTTTACATGGTGTGTTCAATAAAAACATGGCAACATTTCATTCTTTGTGTGTTATTAGTTTAAGCAGACAGTGACTTATATGATGATCAGATCACATTTTATGACCAATTTGTGCAGAAATCCATATCATTCCAAAGGGTTCACATACTTTTTCTTGCAACTGTATAACAACTTCATCTAGATGAAGTCATTATAGTGAGTACAGTGTTCCTTTAATTACATACATTTCAATACATTTGTATGTTTGCTTGCTAGTTTAAAAAAAGTAATTGTCAAGTGATGCATGTCCCTTTAAGAGTGCTAGAAAACGTTTCCAATCAATAAATCACTCTTTATGTCCACCCAAAATTTCTAAAATTTGCATTTAATTCTATGAGAACTAGCTTTCAAAGAAACCAGCTGAAACTGATTCACAAAGACATTTGTTAGCTCTTGTCCAAATGAGTTATTTATACTGGATTTATTTTTTTTGTCTAATATGAATGTTTCCAACTTCCATCCGGTGGAAATTTGTCTTTTGTGGTGCATACATTTTTTTTTGTTCTAACCAGATATAACTAGCATCATTAATTTTCCTTATTTGTGTTAGAAAAAAAAGGAAAGAACCCTCACTGAAATCAGCAACTTTTAACCAGTTGGGTGGTTTTCCATTTGGAAATCATCTCCTCATTTTTAAATTGATGTGAGAAAAAAACAAAAAACAGTTGAACAGACCTTTTAGGTCCAACTCTTCCAGTACTTGGAAGTACGGTACAGATTAATGGTCAGGTAACTAATTAACTAACAACTTCTAGACTTAAATGTTTTTCTGGACAGCTTTCAAAAGTATGACAAAGCACTGCACCATGAGCATTTAAAAAAAATTAAGGAATTTTAAAGGCACAATAACACAATACAGCTTGTTATATAGTGTATCGTGACTGGAGTGTCCTGGCACACCCTCCCATTGAAAGTAATCAAACCATTTTGAACGGTTTGACTTCTTAGTCCTCCATATGATACTCCTTGCTGCCACTACTAATGCTGTAGAAACGGAAGTTCGTAAGAAAGAACTTCTGTTAACTCTTCCATGCGATGCCATGCATTGCAAGGCTTAGCTCAGGAGAGCTAACAGGAGTTCCTGTTTAGGAACTTTCAGCTCTGGCATTAGTAGTGGAGGAGGGGAGCAGTGCTCAATGGATCCCAGATGAGAGGTCAAATCGTTCAAAAATGGATTGACATATGTTGTGTGTAAGCCAGAAATAATGTTGTATATTGAGTGGGCTTGTTGCGTCAGCCATTCTCCCAATATTGACATATTGTGGGTAATATGGAAAATATATATATATATATATTTTATTTTCATGGTTGCCCTTTGAGCCCATAAAATGTTTTTCATATTTGTATCTGTAACCATTTTACATCAATCACTGTTCTTATACATTTTAAAAGCATGACAAGAAATACAGCACTTCTTCACTTATTATATATATATCAATCACAAGAAGTGAAGAAGTGGTATATATATAACCAATTAGCCTATAACCCATTGACTAATAGTTTAAGTTTATGTGTATTGATAAGTGAGGCTGTTCCGACACTTTTCCTATGTGTTTATTCCACTGTAATTTCCGACAGATATTATAAATAGTTTTTAAAGGATGCTATTTCTTCTGATGTCCTATTTAAATATATAAATTCGGTGTGAAAGATTTTTAAAAATATGGGAAACCCTAAAATAATTACAGTATTGCTTATAATAATTTCTACACAACTATTGAATCTAAAGAAAAAAATGTAGTGTTGGATTTCAATCAATTTTTGAAAGTTACAGGGTGAATATTGCAAGGAATAAATTACTGCTTCAATGTTAAACATTTTAAAAATTCTATATTTGAGGACTATAAATGTAATAACCAAATCCAGAAATGCTTCATAAAAGTATATATTTGTAAAAATTAGACCACCCCCTGGGTATTTAACGAAGAACACTCTGACACATTTTATTTAACCATTTTATCCCCACCCTCTGCCAAACCTCCTGTTTATTTTACTTTTTTGTGATTTTTACACAAGTTTTATTTTTGTGGTGAATTTGATAAATGCTCCAGATTTGTATTCTGCTACTGTTGCCAGATTTTAGAACCTTGTGCTGTAAAGAACCCAGATTTGCTCTCCGTTACCTTAGCTCAATATTTGATAGGTAAGGGTCAAATTACAGACATGCCATTTTCAGTGTTCACACTTCTAATCTTGCTCAAATAATTTACTGGATCATTTTAACTTTTGGGACACAATCACAATGTATATTGCATAGCATACTCCATATACATTCAACAGAATACTATAATGTATGTGTAACTACTGCACTTCTTGCTTCTTGCTAATGTATTATATCCTGTATCATATGTACATCTATTGTTTTATATAGATAACATGTACACACAAACATATTAGGTACAAGTATAAGAAACACAAGAAAATTCTTTAGAGTCACATATATTTATTATCACACGACAAGTTAACAGTCAGCAGTTCAGTGGTTTTGTGTTTACAGTGTTAGCTTATGTATTGAAATTATTTGTACAGAATAACTGTTACACATTACATACCACTGTAGAGTTGTAGTGTCATTGTGTTTCAAATAAGATTACAATCCTAAAATCTAAATGGCATGGTGTTAACCATGTTATTTTTTTAACTGAATATATTAGAGCACTACAAACATTGAATAGAAATACTTTTTAGAGGGGAAACAAACATTTACCTGAAACTTTGATTTACGCAAATGTAGATTTGTCTTAACAAAATTGTTCTCTAAATTTAATTTTTTTCTAATATGCCCCAACAAATTATTACCACATTCACATAAAGTTAATTTCACCCAGTAACCATATCTTGGTAACAGTCATGCATTCTGAATTATTTAACTTGCCGTATTTAAGCCGTATATTTCTCTGTCCTCATTAAGTGCAACTTGATGTTTGATTGACCTAGTGCTAACTTAAAGGAACACTATAGTTACCTAAATTACTTTAGCTAAATAAAGCAGTTTTAGTGTATAGATCATTCCCCTGCAATCTCACTGCTCAATTCACTGTCATTTAGGAGTTAAATCACTTTGTTTCTGTTTATGCAGCCCTAGCCACACCTCCCCTGGGTATGATTGACAGAGCCTGCATGAAAAAAAAAAAAAAAAACTGGTTTCACTTTCAAACAGATGTAATTTACCTTAAATCTCAATCTCTAAATTGAACTTTAATCACATACAGGAGGCTCTTGCAGGGTCTATCAAGCTATTAACATAGCAGGGGATAAGAAAATCTTAATTAAAAAGAACTTGCAATAAAGAAAGCCTAAATAGGGCTCTCTTTACAGGAAGTGTTTATGGAAGGCTGTGCAAGTCACATGCAGGGAGGTGTGACTAGGGTTCATAAACAAAGGGATTCCTAAATGGCAGGGGATTGAGCAGTGAGGCTGCAGGGGCATGTTCTATACACCAAAACTGCTTCATTAAGCTAAAGTTGTTCAGGTGACTATAGTGTCCCTTTAAACTTAAGCCAACATTAAAGTTAAAAATAGTGAAGACTGATAAAAGGTAAAATAGATTTTGCAGTAATATCTAGAATATGGGACAAAGAAGAACAAACGTACAAACCTAATTAAGAGAAGAATTGCATTATGTAATGACAAATCTACTTGAAAAATAAATTCAGAAACAATTGGCACTAAACATTCTTGAGAGATTTTCAGCTTAAGAATATATTTCACAATATTGTACAACAGCCTTGGATTCCCCTGAAAAATACAATAAAAAAATAAAAGCAAACATTCACAGCACTTGAAAGTAGCATGGCGGTTTTACACATTGGGATGGATTCTGTCACTTGAATAAGCAAATAGTTTTCTTAAGTGTTAGACGTTAGAAAGAAAATATTGGAAGTAAAAAAGACTTTTCACAGATCTTAGTGTATCATTTGGAACACATCCTACCGAGGTAGTATAAAGACTAACATTGAAATTACAGAGAAAGAAAAAACATTTTATTGTTTTCTTACAAAATCACAAACGCACAAACTTACTTCACATTGTCAGAAAAATATGTATGTTGGATATTGATGTGAAACAAAATCTTGCCCTATTGATCACAATTTCCTTTTACTCAATTTTACTGGCAATCATGTTTTGCATTTACGTGCTGTGTTCTATTACATTTCTTATATCTTATATATATATATCTACTGTATTTCAATACACAATTCACATAATTATATGAATACGATAATCACTAAAACAGGAAAACTTGTAATGGAACGTCACATAATGGGTTATATTTCTTACATGGTAGCTTCAGTTACAACAACTTATAATATTGTCTTGAGACTAAACGCTTTTTTGTCACGGATGAAACAATAACTTTTGTCTTTGTTTCTTGTATTTAAGCATAAAATAGAGTATTTAAAATATGAAAAGAATAGAAAATATGGTTTATGCTGCAATATACTATTTATATGCTTTTATATTTGTCTTTATATAAAATTATATAATGTTTTATTATTAGCAAGGAAGTCAATCTACATCATATTATTTACACTACAAGCGATACACAAGTTCAAAATGTCTAAATGTATTCTCTGTAGAGTATTCATTGTAGAGTAAAATGGCACTATTTTTGAATTTTCAAAATAGGTATACTATATATTTTTAAAAAGTATATTTCTAATTTGTGTATGAGATAAACTTATCACTGTATAGAACAAATCACAATATCTCACAAATCTAACCTCACTTGAGCTGCACAGCATGACACAGTATCACTAGAACTTATTCCAGGATATTTTTCAGTGGATCAACATATGAAATCCAAATATCAAGAAACTGATTTTTTTTTTTTTTCACACATGATATAAATCAATTGTAACATCCAAAAAGTATAAACTAAGAATATTTTGGTTCATAAACTGATGATTTCACTAGTTGTATTCATTAAAAACTGGGTGTGTTTTCTCAAAGTCCAAATTGCAAATACTTGTTCCAAGTTTTTAAATGTCTAAAATTGCACACAGGTAATCAAATAAGTAATGTTATTTGACTATCTGTAAGAAGCACTAATGCAATATTTCACCTAGAAAGTGGTAATTTTCAAATAAAAGGAAACTTTTTCTGTAAATTGTATTAGGCACCAACTTGGACCCATCAGAATACACTTTAGACCTTACCAAAGTCAATTCAAAATGTATTTTTCACTGGTAAAATTTAACAATTGTCTTAGGCACATTATACTGCACACTAGTAAATCTACTGAATCAAGTGCCTACACAAATCAAATGGGACTCAGCTAAGAACAATATGTGAGTTACAGGTGATTTAGATTCACATCAGTGCCAACCTGACATCTGTTGAATCTAAGTTGCATAATATGATAGTTTAGTGTAGTATATATTGGTTTTATGTTTTATGTGTGATTATTAAATAAATGAAATTGGAAGGAAAATCCAGTTACAGGTAATACCTATTAAATGTGTACTTGATCCTGATAACTATCTTTACTTGCAAAACCGATACCAAATGTGCTTTTTTTTAGAATTAAAAAACATGACAAAAATGTAGAATACACTATCATCTTAAAGAAAAACTATGCACAATATAGACATGCGATAGAGTAGATATTAACAGTACTTTTGAGAGGTAAATATGAGTAGATAGCATTGCTGCTATATAATTACTGATCGATCCATTTTAACACAACAAACACTTAGCACAGGTGAACACATGGGTTCATATGGAAAACTCCATTAAATTTGCAGAACATAAGTAAACCACAAACGATTTGAGGATGCACCCTTGTTCTTAGTGATTAATACCTAATAATGCCATCATGCATTGGTCTTTGAGGAAGGGCTGTGTACCTAAAACATTTGAGGCTTAATTGTATTTTGCCACAAAAAAAGCGTTTAAATGTGAGCCCATTTTTTCAGTTGCAATATGTGTTTATTTCCACTGAATATAAGGAAGACCTATGTACAAAAAATAATCAGATAAAATAAAAAGTGAATTAAACAGATTTATGACACTTGAATTACCCAAAAAAAGGACTGATTTTCAGCTATATGAGAATGGTTGCCTGGAGATGAATATCTACATCTCTGCGCCAAGACAAGTTTCTTAAGATCGTACATTACTATGATGTATAAAAAAAGATAATAACATACTAAATATAAATATTTATTTTAAAGTTCCTTACTCAGCTTCTCTAACATACAAATCCTCATTTGTATTTACGTTTTATCACTTTCAACTACATTTTTAGAATACCATAGAGAGAACAGATGATAAAGAATGGGAGACATTTAGGTCTATAGATAATTTATAGTTGTATCCCAGCACCCCCGACCATATTGTGTAACATCTCTATAATAGCAAAATAAGATTGCTAGAAAACAACACACTAAATATTTTTTTTTAAATATGGAATGGAATGTATTTTTCATCTGTCAATCATAACTAAAAGCACAATTCTGATGCAATGTGTTACATTTCAGTTGATATTTACATACACATGTGCTTTTGAGTGAATAATTCGTTTTTTTATTTTTTATTCTTCATTAGCAGACTTCACCAGACACGTATAGGTCGTAGCTTCATCTACCTACCTACATTGGCACTTGGATCAATAAAACTATAGTACTGCACCAAATAACAGATTATACTACGTTCACCAAAACACGATGAGCATAATACCTATGTCTGTTTTCCAAAGATACTGTGCAAATTTTCTAGTCAAGAAAGTCTTTTCTGGTATATATTAGATCATACCATCAACCAGTTAACCCAATTTTAAAATGTCAATTATTTTTGTTGTCTTCTTGTTTGTTCACTTCATGTCACTAATATAATTCATCCTGTTTGCTTGCTTTTTAAACAGTCAGCCAGTGGTGTAGCTGGAGAGAAAGCAGAAATTAAATTAGAACATTTAACTTTAGTAATTGTAATACAGGTATAACCGTCATTTGCAACAATGTTTGTTCTATGGCATAAAATAATTTTTTGTACAATCCTGCTTAATATGTTACCATTGATGCTGTTAAATATTCATAGGTAAATAGCCTAGAAATAGGTCCCAGGTGATGTCGGCTGTGCCCAAATGCAGACACAAGTGCCATATCTCAACCCTATCAAAAGTGTTAATGAGGCACTGCTTGCATTCCAACAAGAGAAGCACTATGCCAAGATCTGATGGCTTGGTGCAGTGCCTGAGAGAAAAACATTCCCGTATGGCTTTATTTCTCTGCAGGCTAGAGAAATAACAATCATTTATACAAAAATGAAAGAAACACTATAGGCACCCAGACCACTTCATTTCATTGAAGTGATCTGGGTACAGTGTCCCAGACCCACTTAGTCCTGCAATATAAGTAATTGCAGCTTTTGATAAACTTCAATAATTACATTGCAGAACTATGACTACCTCTAGTGGTTGTCAATCAAATAGCCACTAGAAGCACTTCCTGGTGCCAACCAACTTATGGTCGCTTAGCTGACGCTTGACATTAGGACATCCAGCGTCAGTAATGTCCCCATTGGAAAGTATTGAAGCATAGCTGCCGGCAGAGGGGGTGGGGCTGGGGGGATAGTGGGGGGGTTGGAGGAGGAAAGGTGGACCAGAAGTCTCTATGGTGTAAGGAATACAATTTTGCATTCTTTACACTATGGGATCCCTTTAAGATTTTATGGGAAATCCACATTAACTTTTTCTTCTGTTATTTAAAAATCAAACTGAAAATAGCATGCAAGGATTTTTTAATTTATTTATGTCTGTATCAGCAGCCGTAACAACAACAGACACTAAAACAGATTGAACAAAACGTTATTTTCCTGCCTCATTTATTGCAATAATATATTTACACTGTTACCAACAAAATATTTGTCAATTGCTAATTAAATAAAATGAGGTTAATCCAGTTTTAAAATGTCTGTTATTCCTTTTGCAATTGCAAGCATAACCTAAAAACACAGATAAATATACATCCACAATCACCATATTTGATTTAAGTAAGCACCACTGAATGTCACAATAAAGATTTTTGAAAAATGTAACTATAATACTGCATATTATGTTTCTAGGGCAGTGCAAACATAATTTATAAATTATGTTTCATGACAACGATGAATTGGGAAACCTAGTTTTGCAACTCAGTCAAACCACCTTTCCAGTAAGTGTTCTTGGGCAAGATACCTAACGGTATATATCTGCCTACCTCA